TTGTTATTAGTTTCTTTGGCATTTTCTAGCTTTGATTCAGTTGAATTTTTTTTATCATCTGTTTATTTAGTTTTTAGTATTTCAGGGCTGACAATTTAAATGCATTAACTATAATTGAAATGTTTAACAACATTTACTCTCTTAGGGCTGCCTAGCTTTATAACCATCCAGCAGCATGTTCATGTTTAATGCAGCTAGGTTAAAGCTTTCACATTTTATGTACCATGAAGCTAAAATAGATTTATTTTAATTTAAATTAATCTTGCAGTCACCAAAGTGTATTTTCATTTAAGTGCATTTATTTATCTTTTTTTTGTTTACTATATATATTTTTTATGTATATTATATAAAAACATGAAATACAATTTTTTTCGTTTTCTATAATTCTCAAACACTTTTTAGCGTCAAATGAAATGGAATGTTGCAATTGGTTATTTCGATCACATCTAACACTTTATTGAAGATTTTTAAAACTCTCTTTGGAGAAAACAAATGTGAAAAAGGCTGCTGAACAGTGGCTGGCCTCTATTAACACTATCTCTTCATCAGTGTTGGGGGTAACGCATTACAAGTAACGTGAGTTACGTAATCAGATTACTTTTTTCAAGTAACCAGTAAAGTAACGCATTACTTTTTTAATTTACAAGAAAATATCTGAGTTACTTTTTCAAAAAAGTAACGTTAGTTACTTTGTTTTCCCATTTATTGACTGACAAGTCTCCTGTCCCCATATTGGGAGAAATCGGAAGTGCAGAGGAGTTGTGTGTGCTGTGTGAACATGATGTTACTGTAGTTCTAGACGAAATGTGAATGTGCATTAATTCATCCCACTTACAAAAAACTGATTTAGTATTCATCAAAATGAATTAAAACAGTGAAATACAAACTCAGAATATGACGCAAACATACAATAATTAATGTTAAATAACACAAATGTATCTAATCCCATTGTATTAACCAATGTCTTTGCTGCTGACCTTTGATGATCCAGTTCAACCATACTAATAAGTGAAAATGACTTTAGATAAACTAACAATTGTGCTTCATTGTTTTTTTTATTGCTGAAGAGTGTTTCTTCTCCTGCGTTCTACTGTGCAGACGTGAATTTACTTTTCCTTTAGCCAGAGGTTTATTCATTACACTTTTTGGTGTGAAAGGGCTTTTACATTTGCTATAAATAGAACTTCTTATATTAAAAACAATCAAGCTCTGCTCATATTTAAAAAGTAACACGAAAGTAGCGCAAACGTAATGCAACACATTACTTTCCATAGAAAGTAACTAAGTAACGTGATTAGTTACTTTTTTAGGGAGTAACGCAATATTGTAATGCATTACTTTTAAAAGTAACTTTCCCCAACACTGCTCTTCATACTTATCTTTCTGAGAGAGAGAGCAGATTACAGTAATGCAGAATGAACCTGCAATAAAGGATGTCCAGAGTAGAGCAAATACTAGCTGTTGAATCAATAGAGTGGTTCAGTAAGGATGATTCTAGGATTCTTGCTCTTCTAACTCTCTCCTCTGGGTCACACCCAGGGATTATAGGCTTTCTTATTACACCATCATTAAGAGAAAGAGAGTGTGAGCCTTTCTCTTTGAGACATCATATTAAAGCTTGCCTGTGTATGTGCCTGTGCATATGTTTGGAGAAATTCAGTTGGGAGTATGAGGCAACTCTTCTAGTCTTTCAGATATCTTTAGTGAGAGCTGGTACATCAGTCTGTCCTTCACAAGATGGTATCGTATCGAAGTACAGGTATAGCTGTAAAAGACAATAATCAAATGAGACATGAGCCTGAGAGGTGTGATATTAGATCCCGCTGAATTTGATAAAATAAATGCATGTAGAAATCAAATAGATTTTTGATTGCAACATGTTTATAGCATTGAAACTGATTTATTGGAAAACTTTGAGAAGCTTATTTTGCAACTCAATTCTCAACTCAGCTCAAAGATTGAAGCATCACACTTAAAGGTTGGACCAAAAAAACAAAAAAACAAACACACAAAATCGAATCTTCAGAATCTTTCACTGTGCAAAATGTAAACTGAAAAGTGTTGCAACATTATTTATCCAGCCAATGGTCAATGCTATGGCTCATACACACATAGTGGAAGTATAAGTTGTAGGGTTCATGATTCATGAATTCTATGAATCTATATCTATTGCGGTCTTGGGAAAGGCTCTTTAGTGTTAGTTTGTGTGGTTGGTAGATCATAACATGGGTTAATTTCATGCATTAGAAATCATTTTAATCATATCTCTCTAATCCAATATTAAAAAAGAGCACCCACACAAAATTCCTTTAACGTTCACAGTCACACGCACAACCCCATATACATACAGTATTTCTTCTGTTTGTGTTCTCATCACATCTTAAAATTGGGCGATGAATAATGTATTTTTAGTGTGTGGGTTGAAAATTCAGGCTTTCAGAAATAATACTGGCAATTTTTTTGGAAAAGCATGATAAGAGAGAGAAAGAGGTATACTGCTCTTATAATTAGATGGTGTGTGTGTGTGTGTGTGCAGGTGTTTAGGACTTTAGGGAAGCTGTTAACTTTCCTTCATGAACTGATGATGATTCTTTATTTTATCACTTGATTTTTCTTCTCCACTTTTGTCCTAATAACTCTTCTCTGTTCTGCTCCTCCTTTCACCCCGTGGCTTGTCCATTGCAGTAACTCAGTCCTGAATGGACACTTCATTAGTGCAGTAGCTGCTGCTCCTGAACCCAGAGGTGCCAGGAATAAATGTATCTGCTCCCTCAGTCTGGTCTCCAAACACAGCTCGCCAATTAACAACATACAAATTCAGCCTCAGTTTACCTTTAAACTGATCACGCCGAGTCTACATGTACTTCAACACACCTCAACACAAACACTCAGGATCGTTGTTAATAAAAAGATACCCTCAAGAACAACGTTCTTCAACACAGGAACAATGTACCGCAAAGTACAAACCCTCAAGAACAACATTCACCAATGCAAACCATGAAGAACATATTTTTTTAACACAAACCCTCAAGAACAATGTACTGCAGACCCAGTACAAACCCTCAAGAACAACTTTCACCAATGCAAACCCTGAAGAACAACATTCTTTAACGCAAAATCTCAAGAACAATGAATGTACTTCAATGGAAATCCTCAGGAATAGTGTACCTCAACCATTGTTAGTATTTAGTTTAGTATTATTTATATAGTTACTGTTGCTTTTTTGAATGAGCTTTTATTTTTATATTTTCTGTTTTCATTTTAATTTGTTTTAGTAATTTTATGTGCTTTTATTTTTATTAATTTAGTATTTTTATATTTATTTTTAGCATTAATGTATTTAGTTTTAGTCATTTTCATGCTTCAACTTAAACATTTTTTAGTTAATTATTAATGCGATTTTTCAGGATTTTCTTCTAATATTCATATTTATTTCAACTTTATTTGAATTACCAAAATTACATTTCAATTGTTCTAGTTTTATGTAACGGTACCAATTCTAACCTCACCACCAATCTGCAGGAACAGCAGACTTCATTTAAAACCCCCCAAAACAACAGACCTCAACAAGTGTTGTTTTACTATTGTTTATATACTATTATAGTAATTAATAATAATAAGTTTTGTTTTGTGCTGTTTATAACAGTAAGTTTCTTTTTAGCTTGATTTAATTTTTATTTCAGTTTTAGTAAATTTAGTACTTCACCTTATTTCAGTTAACTGCCAAGTCAATCTTTCTTTCTTTCTTTCTTTCTTTCTTTCTTTCTTTCTTTCTTTCTTTCTTTCTCTCTCTCTCTCTCTCACTCACTCACTCACTCACTCACATTCATTCATTCATTCATTCACTCATCCATTCATTCACTCATCCATTCATTCATTCATTCATTCATTCATTCATTCATTCACTCATCCATTCATTCATTCATTCATTCATTCATTCATTCATTCACTCACTCACTCACTCACTCACTCACTCACTCACTCACTCACATTCATTCATTCATTCATTCATTCATTCATTCATTCACTCATCCATTCATTCACTCATCCATTCATTCATTCATTCATTCATTCATTCACTCATTCACTCATCCATTCATTCATTCATTCATTCATTCATTCACTCACTCACTCACTCACTCGAACAACAAACCTCAACAAAGACCTTCAAGAGCAATCTTTACACAAACCTTCAGCCATGAAGTACCTCAAAAAGCATACTCTGCCTTATTCTCATCCCTTTGTCGGCTCCAGCACCCCAGTTTCAACTCTGCTTCCTTTTTCTCCTCATTCTCCTTGGGTCATGCTTTCTTCCCCTTTGTCTTTCTATCTGACTTTCTCTTCTTATATCTTTATCTCTTCAATCCTCCCTTTGGTCTCACCTTAATAAGGTATTCTCAAACCTTTCCGGTTATCTCCACTATGTTTTCTTACTCTCTGTACTATTCACTTTTCCTCCGACTAAATCATTTTGTTTATTGCACCTCACGTTCACTCCGAACTGTCAGACTTCTTTTCGTCTTTCTCATTTGGCAATTAGCAAATATTCTCTGCTAATAATAGATCTCTCATCCCTGTTCTTGTGGTATGTAAGCAGTTCAGTCACATTTCTCTATGGTTTCTACAAGACTCTTAATTAGCCTCATTTCTAACCCTCAGTTACAGGCTATCTTCTCTATTATTATTCTAAAGCAGTGTTTTCTCAACCACTGTCTCATCAATACTTTCAAATATATCCTCCCTTCCCACAGCACACACACCAACAATTAGACTTTATAATGTCTCATTTCTGGCAGGGGATCTAGAAGTCCAGGCCGTATTGATCCTCTAAGCTGTCAGGTCAGAATGCCATCTATGTCATGGTAAAGCAAGCCAAACAGTAGATTGATGATTTAAACTTCCAAGGGACCTCAACCAATAGTTAATTCTGATGGGGCTTCATGGTGCAAATAACAGCTGGTCTCTTAATGTTTTTATCTTTCTCCCTCTCTTTCTCTCAGTTATACTGCAAGAGTGGTGGGCAATGGAGTTCGTGCTCAAAGTCAGAATCCAGAAGTAAGAGTCAGAGGTGCTGACCCTGTGCTTATGGATGTCAAAAACAAACTCGAGCTCTTCAACACGGTAAGAAATATCATGATTTGGTGACACTACATCTATTACATCTTAAAGGGATAGTTCACCTAAAATATGCTCATTTACTAACCTCTTTGTTCCTTTCTACTGTGAAACACAAAAGTATTTGAACATATCTTCTTTATTTTATAAGGAAGTCTTAACATATCTTCTTTATTCTATAAGGAATTCATACAGGTTTGGAATCTGAAAATCATAGAAAAAACATTGTTACTTTTATGTTTTATAGCAAAAAAAAGAGAAAAAATTCTGCTATTTGCCAAGATGACTTCTTGCACTCTAAAAAATGCTGGGTTAAATACAACCCAGTGCTGGGTAAAATAGGGACAAACCCAGCAATTGGGTTGTTTTGACCCAGCGGTTGGGTTAAATGTTTAACCCAACCTTCTGGGTAGTAACCCAACCGCTGGGTCAAAACAGCCCAGTTGCTGGTTTTGTCCCTATTTTACCCAGCACTGGGTTGTATTTAACCTAGCATTTTTTAGAGTGTGATGTTATAACATTACTAAAACTACAACAAAAATAAAAATAAATAAAATATATATAGACATATATATATAAAAAAAAAAACACTACAGAATTTCTAAAACTTTTTAAAATTCAAATATGAAAAAACCTCAATCTCAATGATACTCAAACAACACTGGTTTGGAATGGCATGAGGATGAGTAAATGCATTTTTGGGTGAACTATCACTTTAAAAAGAAAAAAAAAATCTCTAGTAATTGCTTAAAATGGATTACTAATTGATTAATGGATAAATATGTTAGATCACACTTTATTTTAAGGATCCAATTCTCACCATTAACAAACCAATAACTATGACTTTGCCTCAATTAACTCCTAATTTGCTAATAGTTAGTAAGGTAGTTGTTAAGTTTAGTTATTAGGCAGGATTAGAGATGTAGAATATGGTCATGAAGAATATGTGCTTTAACTAATAAACAGCCAATATGTTAATAATAGGCATGGTCATAAGCAACTAGTAATAGTGAAAATTGGTCCCATATACTAAAGTGTTACCGTATGTGATTTCAAAGATTCAACCATAGTGACTAAACTCTGATTTGGGAGATTATGTTCACATAATCCTTTTTATCTACCAAATTAGAAGTCAATTCGATGAGTGTGATGATCTTAAAACTTGTAAACAGAAGCAGGGTTATTATCTTCTGGTTCTGCTTGGCTGAATTTTGCTCCATGATGCACGAGTTCACTGTTTTGCACAATGTGAGTGTTGTTTGAGCTCAGATGAATATCCATCAGCTGTGTCTCAGGGAATACCGCAGTTTTGAGCATGGTATGATGGTAACACCACGGCATTCATTGAAATACCATCATCATTTTTTTGTAAGGGATATATGGGGTGATTTCAGTGTAGGTGATTCATGGAAGATGCTACCGTAGTGATTGCTGTCAGTGACCACAAGTGGTAAATTGTTTACGTTATATGATTAATTATCCTGTTTTTGCAAACTTTTACAATTAAAGAAAAGCTTTTCCAACATTAATCGCATCAGACAGTGTTGTTGGCCTGCTGGAAGGAGTCCGAAGAAATGTGCTGATTAGTACATATTCACTTTTTTTTATTACTATATATTAATGTGAATAATAATAATGAAATATTACTGTAGTATTTTTTGTTATTTTTCAAAGATTTTTCTGTTATGAATAGTAGTAGTAAATAATAATAATAATAAATTCTTGAATAGGAAATAGACATATAGGAAATATCACGTAGCATAGAAAATGGTATTATTTTACTAAAATTCAGCTGCTGTTCAATTGCAACTGATATTTGTAATATCTGACCAGCTATTACAAATCAGAGCATCTTTTTTAATAACATTGTTTACAGTATGTGATTAATTTTCTTGCTTTTGCATGCATTGAACTTGTATGATAAAAGAAATCACAACTTTTCCAGCGCTAATCACATCAGGCAGTGTTGAAGAAATGTGCTGATGTGTTCAGAAACTTTTTCCTGTTGTTGTTTGTGATGTTCTGTTCTCATTCTGATAGATCTGATGGAGCAGTCATGCATTAACGGAGTGGCAGAAAACAAGGGCAGATGGCTCTTTTTCAGATGTGAATTAAACAGCTCATCAAAGTGATTCTGATGTTCTTCGAAATTAACTAACAGATGAAACTTCTACCTAATTAACGGCATCCAGTACAGACTCTGAGATGAGTTGAACAGCTTTGGCTGTGGAGAAAGGGAGTTTATACATATCACATGTGCAAGTAAGGCTGATTCTGATGGGAAGTAAAGAACTGGCAGGGGCTGTAGACTGAGTCTGTGCAGACTGACCTAACAGAGTCATCTGACTGCCTTGTGAACTGGTGGCATCAGTAAACATTGGGGAGAACATCATGGCCTAAAACACACACATACTGTATACACACAACAACTCATGCGTCATCAACACTATTATATGAAATTTGTATTCAGTTTGAACTATAATGAAAATAATCCGGTTCATTAAAGTGATCAAGAGCTACAAATTGATTTTTAATTGTTGTGTAGAAGTGGTTCCAGTTTATGTATTAGTATGTTATTCTCTTCTATCCATTAAGATAAAGAATCAATTTAATTCAATAATAATAAACCCGAAATGTTTGAAAATAATACGTGAAAATAAATAAATAAATACATTCATATATTAATTTATAACAACAACACTATAATAATAATTATAATAAATAATAATAATTATTATTATTGGTACTACTACCACTACTAATAAAATGTTTTTTTTTTCTTGAATTTAATTCCTTTTGCTCTATTTTTTCTTTCACCTTATATTTCTTTCACTATTCTTTCACTCTTTTGCGCTTTCTTTTTGACCCTCTGCTTGTTAAGACTTTTTTTTGTCATTTAATTGTTTCAAGATTTTTCGAGATGACAAAATACTGTCAATTAAAGTTTTTTCTTGCATAGGAAATATACATACAAGAAATATCATGTAGAACATGGTATTATTTTATTAAAAAAAGTCAATTTCACTGTTCTGGCTTTGACTGTTCCTGTTCCATTACTGATATTTTTAATATCTGATAGCCATCAGAGCGCTTATTTCCAGCTTGCCTTTAAACTAACAGAGAAGTGAAATCATTTATTGAAAATTACTGATAAGGGAAAAACATAAAATTATGTTGTCTCTTTCTCTCTCATATTCACCCCAGTTTCACCCTGATAAAGTTATGAATTTCTTTTTCCCAGATAGTAAGAGAATTTCTCAACAGAAATATTTGATTTCCTATTCCAATTATGAATGCTAAAAACCACCAGGAATCTGCTGTGTTACAGTCTCAGCGCTTAATATCTGATAGCCATCAGAGCGCTTATTTCCAGCTTGCCTTTAAACTAACAGAGAAGTGAAATCATTTATTGAAAATTACTGATAAGGGAAAAACATAAAATTATGTTGTCTCTTTCTCTCTCATATTCACCCCAGTTTCACCCTGATAAAGTTATGAATTTCTTTTTCCCAGATAGTAAGAGAATTTCTCAACAGAAATATTTGATTTCCTATTCCAATTATGAATGCTAAAAACCACCAGGAATCTGCTGGAATGGAAATATTGATCCTGTGTACTTTGGAGGTTTGAATGGGGAAATATGTGGTTAAAGAAACTGAGAGAGTGTCACAGAGAGAACGAGAGAGCAGAACGGAGCAGAGCTTCAGAAAACAGGGCAGTTTGGATGGCAAGGTGCTGTTTTTGTCATGCTAATAACAGGCCGGACACTGAAAGACTTTCAGAATAAAAGATGATTTTCCCACAATCCCCTGAAGCTCTGTGTGTCAACAGTCTGCCCAACTCTGCCATATGACCTTTCTTTCTTTCTTTCACTCTTTCGCTCTTTCTTTCTTTTGCTATTTCTTTCTTTTGCACTTTTTCTTTCGCTCTTTCTTTCTTTCTTTCTTTCTTTTGCTCTCTTTCTTTCTTTCTTTCACTCTTTCTTTTGCTCTTTTTTTCGCTCACTCTTTTTTTTTTTTGCTTTTTGCTCTCTGTTTTGCTTTCTCTTTCCCTCTCTGGCTATTTCTTTCGCTATTTCACTCTGTTTTTTACACTCTTTCTTTCTTTCTTTCGCTCTTTCGCTCTCTTTCTTTCTTTCGCTCTTTCTTTCTTTCTTTCTTTCGCTCTCTTTCTTTCTTTCTTTCGCTCTTTCTTTCTTTCTTTCTTTCTTTTTTTTTCGTTTTTCACTCATTCTTTTGCTCTTTTTTTCGCTCACTCTTTTTTTTGTGCTTTTTGCTCTCTGTTTTGCTTTCTCTTTCCCTCTCTGGCTATTTCTTTCGCTATTTCACTCTGTTTTTTACACTCTTTCTTTCTTTCTTTCTTTCTTTCACTCTTTCTTTCTTTCTTTCTTTCGCTCTTTCTTTCACTCATTCTTTTGCTCTTTTTTTCGCTCACTCTTTTTTTTGTGCTTTTTGCTCTCTGTTTTGCTTTCTCTTTCCCTCTCTGGCTATTTCTTTCGCTATTTCACTCTGTTTTTTACACTCTTTCTTTCTTTCTTTCTTTCTTTCACTCTTTCTTTCTTTCTTTCTTTCGCTCTTTCTTTCTTTCGCTCTCTTTCTCTTTCTTTCTTTCTTTCTTTTTCTTTCTTTTGCTCTTTCTTTCTTTCGCTCTTTCTTTTGCTCTTTCTTTCTTTCGCTCTTTCTTTTGCTCTTTTTTTCGCTCACTCTTTTTTTTTTGCTTTTTGCTCTCTGTTTTGCTTTCTCTTTCCCTCTCTTTGGCTATTTCTTTCGCTATTTCACTCTGTTTTTCACTTTCTTTCTTTCTTTCTTTCTTTCTTTCTTTCTTTCTTTCTTTCTTTTGCTTTTTCTTTCTTTTGCTTTTTCTTTCTTTCGCTCTTTCTTTCTTTTGCTCTCTTTCTTTTGCTTTTTCTTTTCTTTCTTTCTTTCGCTCTCTTTCTTTCGCTCTTTCTTTCTTTTACACTTTTTCTTTCGCTCTTTCTTTCTTTCGCACTTTTTGTTTTGCTCTTT